TCTCAGAGCTTTACCTGTAAGGACATCCCTGTCATGGAAGTCACCTTTCACATTATAGAACCTTAGCTGTCTCAGGAGATAAGGAAATTCCCTCCCTGTACTTGTGTGAGTTTCATCTTCCTGTGAGAAGTCTTTCACATATGTCAAGTATCAAATACAATAAGAAGTTGTGAACTGGTGGGTAGTTTTTATTAATGAGGTTTCTGAATAGCATTTATTTTTGCATAAAATTTCTTTTCTTTTTTTTAAAACCTTTCATGTCTCATACCTGCTTCTTTCAGTTTGCATTAAAGCATTTTAAAATTAGCTTAATATTTAGAACCTTTTAATGCCTATGTCTAGTTTGAGAATTGCCACAATTTATCTTCATTCAAAAATTCTAAGGAAATACCTTAGAGAGTTTCCTTTCTTCTAAATGTATAAAGTGATATATCTTGCATTTACTTTAAGATGGATGAATGTCAGGTCAGTAATCTATGAACAATAACATAGTGCTGAACGTGTCCTGCTCTCTTTCTGCAAGTGTGTTTACTAAGAAGCCACTAGGGCATTCTTGTATACACATTCCTAGTGTATATGTCATTTTATAGAACTACACATAATGTATTAATTAAAGTTAATACATTCCAGTAATAATATTGTAGGCATATCAACTCCTTTCTTACAATGGACATACTTCGTTAATTTAGTGTGCAAATGAATGTGTATATACATAATAAATTTGATATACTTTCTTATTTATATGAATTTTTAGGATTATTTGAAATATTTTATGTGAGGAATAAGATACTTAGAATTAAATTACACAGACATATTGGAACTTCTTCCTGCCTTGCTTTTCTCATGTGTCATTATAAGTGTTTTCATCTCTTCTTGGATAATTTAGGCATTACTTGATGTGTTTTGATATTATTTGCAGTTCCTACAAAGGAGAATATGGAAAAAAGCACATGGAACCCTTAAAAGTTGAAATAGAGGATTGGAAAGCACTCAGTGATCAGCAGTACTTTCTGCTCCTCCAGGGACCTGAGTTCAGTTCCCACACACATGTCAGGTGGCTCATAACTGCCTGAAACTCCGGCTCTAGGGGATCTGATGCCCTCTTCTGATCTCTTTGAGCACCCGCACTCATGGTCATATACACATACACAGTAACACACACATGCATATAATTTAAAATTACAAAAATAAATCTTTACAAAAATTGAAATAAGATTCTTATTAAATAGGTTAATTAGTAAGAATAGAACAAATAAGAACAAAAATTAATAAAGTGAAAAAAAATCAGTAATCTATGAAAAATACCAATCAAAGTATAAAAGTGGTGTATGTGCGTAGGATATAAACTTGCCTTTTTAGGCCATGATACTACAATGCACAATTTCCAACTAAGTCTATATCCATATGTTTATACACTTAGATATTTCATGTGTCTTCAATATTTTCTGACAAAAAGCTGAAACTGTGTTTTATATAGACTTTTCCTCTGGCATCATCATTTAGTGGTCCCATCTTAAACTTAGTATACTTCACATTTGCATATCCTGCGTGGTTGACTTCAGAGGGGAATCAGAAAGATAGTTCTCAATTCAACTTTCAGGAAGCTTCTGGAGAAAATGAGTAGGATGATGTAACCACATCATTTACAGCTTTTAACTCATCGTAAGCATTTATTTTCAGTATTTTAAATTGCATTTTAAATTTATATATATATATATAGGTCTTTTCGAGACAGGGTCTCCCTGTGGCCCCAGCTGTCCTGGAATTCACTATGTAGACCAGGCTGGCCTTGAACTCACAGAGATCTGCCTGCCTCTGCCTCCTGAGTGCTGGGATTAATGGCATGCACCACCATGCCCGGCTCTCTATTTATATTTTACGTATCTTATTTATATTTTAAATGTTTCTGTGTTTTGTGGAAAACAAAATGTCAGTAAAATATATGTGTCATGACTATTATTGGTGATGAAGAATATAGCTAAATTAATTTCCAAAAATATCCTTTGGATGTACTGAATTTATGAAAAAGTATGCTATTGTAATTGATATCAATGACAGTTTATGAGAATTAGTTTCTTTCATGTAGTTTTTAAAATATATTATTCTAGCTATAAAACCACATTGCAGTTTGGTCCAGCCTCATCTCTTCTGTAGTGTCACAACTGAATCTTCTACAAATGAGTTAAACTCTATTTTCCTATATGTTTAAAAATAAGGATAATGATGTCTTTGTCATCTTGTTTTTCATGTGGTAGTGAGCCTAAAAAGGGGAAAATGTAATATTGGAAATAAACGGTAGTGGAATATTTTAAGCACCAGATTGTAATTATGTAAGTAAATGGAAGAAGCGCAAGGAGGATATTGATGTCTTGCTTCTCCTCAGCAGAGCTGCATCAAACATAAAGGGGAGTCATTTTATTGAATAATAAAGCCTGACAATCACTGTGATTGGCTGACAGCCATGACTGCAGTGTAATTCTAAACAGCTTGTTTTTCAAAGTTCTTCTTGAATAATTCTTTAAACCCCGACATTGCCTGGCCGGATTGGAAGGTTCAAAACTCATTTTTAAAGTGAAGTTTCTCACATTTCAATATTCTTATTAAGTCATGAGAAAAAGGTACATATTAAAATTTTATTTTCTTTCAATATATTTCTGCTCTAGTTTGCTTTCAATTGCTGGGGCAAAATACTCTGACCAATACTAATTTGGGGAGGAAAGGGTTTATTTTATCTTACCTCTCTGGGCCACAATTAATCAGGGACCCCAAGGTAGGAACTCAGGGCAGGAACCTGGAGGCAGGAGCTCTGTTTCTTCATTGCTGTGACAAAATACCCTGACCACTACCAACTTGGGAAGGAAAGGGTTTATGTAGCTTACATATCCCGGGTCACAGTTCATCTGGGAGCCCAAGGTAGGAACTCAGGGCAGGAACCTGGAGGCAGGAGCTCAAGCACAACCATGAAGGAATGCTGCTTACTGGCTTGCTCTTCTGGCCCCTGCTCAGCCTGCTTTTTTATACAGCATGGGTCCACTTGCACAGAGGTGGCACCACCCACAGTGGGCTGGGCCCTCCCACATCATTGAACAATCAAGAAAATACCCCACATACATGGCCACAGGCCTGTTCAAAGGAGGCAATTCCCCAATCGACACTCCCTCTACCCAGCTGTGTAAAGTTGACAACTAAAGCTATCCAGCACAGTTTGGAACTGGCTATTTGGATATGGAAGAAAAATTTGGAAATTTAACAAACTCAGGTGTATAGAACAGATAAAATTAATTCATATGTCATCGAATAAAAATGCCATATTTGAAGAGGTCTACATTTTAGAAAATGAAACTCATAATGTTCTAGCATGTAAGGCACAATATTTGATGTGCATTACCCAGGTTAAAATGCCATGGCGTCTGAACAGAACTTCAGGCTTCCAAAGTACTGGAATCCACTTTGATGCATTCATCTCTCTGTATCGGCATTTCTAATGAGCAATACTCTCTGGAAAGTGTGTATAATAAGTGGGTGAACAGTTGGCAATTCACCAAAATAAATATTTAATGATATTTTAATGGTTATTTTAAATCTCTTGTATTTATATTGTGGACTAATATTTTATTTGGCTAACGAATTCCTCCAAATATGTTTGAAAAAAATTGCTGTTGGAAATCTGTAATAGATATGCACTTAATTTTCAAATTTGTCCAGGTTAGAACCCTTCACACGCATTCTATCTTAAACGTCAACACTGGAAATCATGAGGTTTATTAAGATCAGGAGCAAACATGTGAACGCTGAGGGACTGTGTTCATTGTTCATTTTCAAACATAGACATGATAATTAATTTTATGCAACCCAGATTCAAAACAACAGAAAGAAAGGGTCCTGAAACGAATATTGCAAGAAAAACGAAGAAAAATAGATGCATTCCAGAGCCCAGAAAGCCGATTCTTGAACAGACAGTAGTAGAAGAATCCCAAAGCATTCAGTGGTTGGCTGATGGCATCTTTGTTCCAGCGATAGGCATCGCATAGCAGATGCTAGGTGAAGTCGCCGTTTTGCCCTCACCTTCCAATGCACTGCTCAGCCCCTGGGCTCCTAGGCTGAGCCTCTGCTGGTAGCTGGTATGCGGTACACATCTCCCCCTCCCGACCGCCAGGTGCCTGCAACCCAGGGAGCACTCACACAATGGACTCACTTGTTTCCCTTGGTTCTCTCCTTGGACTAACAGCCTTAAAAAACAACTTGCAGGAGTCTGGCAGTAGACTGCCCAGAGCCGGGACTACGCAGCCTTCCAGACAGGTCGAAGCACGCGCGCAGGCAGACAAAACATACAAAGCCGGGTCCACGAAGGAATAAATTACCCTCATAACACCCCCCACAGCCACCGGGTAACACGCGAAAAAGAAACCTGGAATCGGATTTCTCCAAATCAGAGGTTTTGTTTTATCTTTCAAATGGCGAACACCCGAAGGCAGCCAAAGGCATGGATATAGAAGGCGGCTTAGCCTGTGACAACGCCCCCAGTATCCTGTAGCACAGGAGCCAGGTTCCTGGAGAACCACGACAGGGGAAGCACAGAACTAGCGGGAAGGAGCAACACAGGCAAAGCAGTTTAGGAAGAGCAGGAACTCTGGACTCGAATGAACGAAATGATCCTTTAAACCAGGCTTCAAGAGTGAAACTTGGGGAGCTTAAATTCTGGACGGGAGCTCTCCGCAGGTAACTACCTGGAGATGAAAGATAGACGGATAATAAGGAAGTGGCAAGTGGCAACTTTGAGCTGGCCAGCAAGTTGAGCACCCTGGGAGGTATCTGTCAAGCACATCTGAGCTGCCCCCTTCAGAGGCGCGCCCTCGGCATCAGCACCCGAGGCAGCACCAGCGGTGGAGGCGGCGGCAGCGGTAGCAGGAAAAGCAGCAGCAGCAGCACCAGCTGCGCGCCTCCGGCCCGCCCCGCGCGGTCCCTGCTCGCCCGCGCCCTGCCCGTCTGCGTGTGCGTGTGCGTGCGCTCAGCCCAGCGTGAGCGGCACCTGCTAGTCCCGGCTCGCCTAGGAGGCCGCCTCGCCCGGCTCCCAGCCGCTGCGCCAGCCGGAGTGGCTCCTCCAAGGGCTTCGAGGGCTCCGAGATCGCCCTGCAGCCGCGGTCCCCCCGCCGCCTACAAGTCCGCCTGGCTCCGAGTCACGTGTCAGTGCCCGAGGCAGAGACAGAAAAAAACGCGCTTCATTCCTTCTTCCACCGCCATACTGTATTTTCCTAAATCTCATTTTTATTCCAACATTTTACTCCCGCTCGGTGAGTACATTCTCCGTGGCATTCTTGTCCTATTCTTTTTTTTTTTTTTTTTTTTTCTTTTTTTTTTTTTGTTTTTTACTTCTTTTTTTTTTTCCCACTTCTTTGATTACTGTTTGTATTTGGGAAAGCTGACGGAGCATGGTCTTGAGCCTTTTCCTGAATCAAGTTTTACTAGCATGCGATGGTTCTCTAGACAAGGCGCTGTGTCCTGGAGTTCGCGGCGACAGTGCCCGCTGCGAGCGACTCCCAAGTCCTGCAAAATGTGCAACTGGTTTTATGGAAAAAGCGATGTGAAATGTTGTGCCTATTTTTTTCCCTTTGTAAAGATAAGAAAGCATGTTTCTAACTCTTTTTTTTTCATACTCTTTTTCTGATTGCATTTTTGTGTAGGTGGGACTTTACAGTGTTCACAAGTTTGTGGTCTTGCAATTCGGTGTGCACCACCGAGCAAAGACATTAATTTTACATTTTTATGACCTTTTTGGAAGTTCATGAGAAATATTTCGGTTTTTTTCCCTCCTGTTTTTGATACCCATTGATAACATGAAACTTTTCTTGCAGCTAGTTACTGGGATCATTTTTAAGCAAAATGATTTTTTCCTCCTTTACATTAATATGACTTTTGCACATTTGACTTTTTTATTTAAAAAAGCCGAGATAATTTTACGATAGATATCCTGATATCTACATCTATATTATTCCTTCTTCCTCCCTTTCCCCTCCCCGTAAATCAATTTTCAAATGATGGCAGTGGAAGGTTTTTCTGGAAAAAAAAAATGAAGTGCGGTTTGGTTTCCTTGTCAACGGAGGATGAAGTGAACAGCACAACAGCTCGCAGAGAGCAGGTACTTGGTCCCCTCGGAGGCGTTTCCCAAGTGTGTGATCATGGCAAGGTTGGTGCGGGCCAAGAAGTGTTCTGTGGCTGTGGGCGCGCGAGTGTGTGTGTGTGTGTGTGTGTGTGTGTGTGTGTGTGTGCTCGCCAGTGTGTGTGCACGAATGCGCGCGCATTCTGGGCAGTGTCGGAGCCCACCACCCTGAAAGCCGCGCCAGAGCCAAAACCAAAGTGCTTTCCCTGTCTGCTGGTGTTTAAGATATGCGCCACCTCCTCCCCTGGCTGCGCCCAGGTTGTCTGCGAGGCCCGGCTTCAGTGATGTGGGCGAGTGGGGAGCGAGGCCGGAGCTCCCTCAAGTTGGCTGGAGCCCCTGGCAGTACCAGAGGCCAAGGCCCCCTCGGGGTGCTGGCCTTCGGGTGGTGGGCTCCTGGAGCCTGGGAGATGCAGAGCAGCAGGGACCCTGGCTACTTGGCGCTGGCAGCTCTCAGGGCGGCTGGAGCTCCAGTTTTTAGGATGGCAGCAGTCCCCTGCTCACAGCACTCCCGCCTCCTTGCCCCGAGTGAACAGTGCAGTAGGTCTTTCCCAGTCTCTTCCACTGGCTCTGGGGGCCTTGCCTTCCCCAAGGATGTCTTAACTGCTGCGTTCCTGGTGGTGTGGCTTTGGTTTTAAGTGCAGGGAGTAGGAAATGGTTATTTGTATGGTGCTCAGTTGGGTTTAATGGATGGAGCTGCTACTTTGCTCTAAAAAGGCGATGCGTACCAAGTACAAATTACTCTCAATTTTAAATGGGCACACTTTCTCTTATCTTCATCACTGCTACTGGTTGCACAGGTGTCCCCGCCTCCAGGCCCGAGAATCAGATAGGTCAAAGGGCTACTGAAGAAGGCCACTGATTCTGGTACATCTTTGGCGCTGAAGCATGCAGCACTGAATGCCATCTAAGGTGTCAGAGTTGTCCTGTTGCATGTTCCCTGTGTAAACCAGCAATACGTGTCAGAGATGCACTAGTTGGGAATCAAAGCCTTTTCTCCATTTAACGCAGTACCAGAATCTGAGGGAACATTTACTTTCAAAATAAGTACAGTAAAGGCAGAGACTGACTCTTAAAATATAGAGAAACTAATATTTAAATTAATGTATAGATTTTTGAATCGCTCATTTTATTTTTCCCACCTTAAATGAAAAGTTTAGTCTTCTATTTTTCATGCACATTACTTTCCACTATGATCAAATAAACTTAAATGAAATAACTTTGTAACTCTCAGATTACATATTCTTCTAGGTTATCTAAAGAAATAATAATGAAAGAAACAAAACAAATCAAATAACTCCCTCCCCCAAAACACCAAAACAGCATACAGAAGGAACCATAACAAAAGGGCCAGGAAACTATTTTGTAGCTTTTTAAAGCAAACATTCATTGAGTCTGCAGGCTCGGCTTGTGGTACAAAAAGTTTGGTGCCTTTTTTTTTTAACTCTTTACAGAGAAAGAGTAAAGAGTCCAAAGGGCCTTAATTTGTAGAAATTTAAAGTACAGTGTAATATCTAGAAACTTATGTGGCTTTTGTTTTTCTAATGTGTTCATGAAATTCAAAGATCCTTGCAAGTTGTATTATATGTAAGGTTATTTATTTAATTATTTCATACTTGGACAACTTTTCTTTGAGAAAGAAATCCTGTTTCATTTGTGAATGAGAAGGAGATAATGTTGCTCTTTGTAAACAGCAGTTTTGATATCTTGATATCTAAGATTTGAAGCTAACATTGTGCCACTAAACCTATATAAAATTTCTTATTTTGTACAGTGAAATCATTGCTCAAACGTGGATTATAATGTGACTGAGACAGCTAACAAAATACTTCTTAAAAGCTATTTATAACATGATGTTTTTAAACTTTAAAAAATCTTAATACTATACATATGAAGAACAAATGATTTGCCTGATTAAACCTGGGTCTCTACTACCAGAACCAGCTTTGCCCCAACTTCAGCACAGTGTCCCTTGTGCCTGATCATCAGCTATACTGTGTTGTTTTCCTGAGACTGAAAACAAATGGCACCAACACTAAGTGCGACCCAATTTAGTATAAATTAGAGAGGAAGTTGCAAGTTGAATCCCTTAATAAAGACAATGCTAGGAATCTTTTCTTATCTCTTTTCATTTATTTAATCTTGATTTTTTTCATTGTGTCAAATATTTTTATTAAATATCTGTTTGTGACATTCAAATCCTCCTAAACCCACCCTCCAAGAACTGAACCAGGAATTCTGCAACTCTAAATTCACCATCTGTTCTGTGAGATTTGGGGTTTAAAATTGTTGAAGAGAGTCACCAGTGTTTTAGCACTGCCTACTAGTTTTTGTGGTTAAAAAAAAAAATGCATGGTTTTTGCATTGACCAAGCTACCCAGCAGAATTCTATTCACCTTAACCTTGTTTTTCCTTACTGCTCATTGTGCCAAATGTTTTTACTTTTCAGGGAGAATGAATTTGTCAGGTAAAGGGGTAGGGAGGGATCCTGTGTTTATATGATTTATTTAAAATGATGGTGTGATATATAAGGTGGAAAAGTTTCAGACACACCTTGTATGTACTCATACATGTTATTAACTACAAAAGATGTATTACTTAGTTGTAAAGTGATGACTTATTTTGAAAAACTACTTGTCAATAGAAAATAATTAAATATGAAATTTTGTATTTTAAATGAAATTATTAATATTAAATAACAAGCAGAATAATTTTATGTTTTCTTCATTGAAAGAAACATTATTTGAATATCTATTTCTCAAGCAAAATAGTCATACTTTTTTTGAAAAAGAAAATAAGAACATAACCTCCACATTTCTTCAAGATTTCTGTCTGAATAGAGTGTGATCACTGTTTGGTTATGATTTCTGATATTGTAAGCAATATTGTAGTGTATCAAATAAAATAAGACTTTATTTCATGTCTCCAAAAACTCTATTATGCAAGTCAAATACAAGTGAAGTAGACATTCATAATTATTTATGTTATAAGAAGAAATTGTAGAACAATATGTTTTGAAGTTTCTTTTTAAGAAATGGCTAGTTGTAACTTTTATCACACTATCAGTAAGGAAAATATATTGTGCTATGAAAAACACCGGTAATGATGACTATTTTTCTTACAGTGGATTATGTGGCTCTAGAAAGTAAGAAAATGTTTATTTTTTTTTAAAGTTATCAATGATCTCTTATAACTGCTAGTAACCTCTGTGCTTTAGACTTTGTTAAAGATTGTTTTCTCTTCTGTGTATTAGTGTTTTGCCTGTATCTATATACATGCACCACACGCATGTAATGTTTGTGGAGGCCAGAAGAGGGAATCAGATCCCTCGGAACAGGAGTTACAGCCTTGTGGGTACTGGGAAGTGAACCAGGGCCTGCCAGAGGAGCTCCAAATGCTCTTAACCATTGAGCCACCTCTCTAGTCCTAGTCCTCTCACTGTTATCATCTACTTCTTCAAGTTACTCATACAAACATCTTTAGGTTTTCTAAAATTATCATGATTCTTTGATTTAATAAGCTCTTCTAATTGACACAAGTAACATAAACTTCCATAGTACTGTCCCTAAGAACAATTAGTCATTATATCATGGTTCTGAGAGCAGTAATTATTAAGTAAAATGATGGGAGCAAGTTATTTCTTCGTGTGTCAGTAGCCAATTACACAGTTAACAAGTGTTATATGAACACCTCTGCTGCAGTCTTGGATCTGTTATTAATGTTTTATTTACAGAATTGCATAGATCTAATTGAACTACTGTCAACTTTTAGTACTTTTTCTTATTCTCTTAGCTATTTTATTCACAATATTGATGAATTTTTCCATCTTCATTTTGTAAGACTTATGCTAACAGTAAAGTTTTATTTTTAAAAAATTGAGTTTGTGTTTGCTAACAGTTTCAGACACTGCTTTGAATTTTTGAATTTTGTTGGTACTTTTTGAGACTGAATTAGGTTGATTTACTTTCTTCTTTTCTATGTGATTAGCGACAGAAATGGCAGTGGACGAACTTTGTGTATAAGATGAATGTCCTCTGTAGTGTCCTTGGAGACAACTCAGCTGGGATCAAGACTGCAAGAATTATTTTTGTCTATATCAATCTAAGTGGAGAGAAGAATTATAGAGGGCATGGGAATCCTCTTCTGCTTCTCTGAAATAGACAGTAGATTGCCTCACACAACACAATTATATCAGTAAAAAAGTACATATTTCATATGGAGAAATATTTTTGGTAAAATGTCATTTAACTTACCAATTTTCTTTTTGTTCAGCATAAAATAGTTGGATTTTCTCCCAAATTCCACAGTGAAAAGTAATTGTACTCATATATATTGCATGTGTTTAGAGAAAATGTTTATATACATTTTGATAGCCATATGCTGCATATTTGTAGAACAATATAATGTTAAGTCAAGGCTATTTTTAATTGAATATGAAAGGCAAAGAAATGGAAGAAGACTAATATTTTTAAGATGTTTTCATTTGGGACTGAAGAGATGGCTTGTCAGTTAAAAGCCCTGACTGCTCTTGCAGAGGACCAGGGTTTGTTTCCCAGCAGCCACATGGCAGCTAACAACTGACCATAACTGCAGTACCAGGGGATCTGATGCCCTCTTCTGGCCTCCATGTACTTTGCATGACACAGGTGCACTTACATACATACAGGCCAAACACTTATACACATAAAATAAAATAAAATAATAAAATAAAAGTAAATAACTAAATTAAATTTAAAATGTTTTCATTTGCATTTGTTAATATATAATATTTCATTATGAAAATTTCATACATGCATAAAATATATTTTAATTTTATCCACTCCCATTTCCCTCTCTTGTCCCCCTTCCACTAATTAATTCCCTTTTCTTCTCAACTACCTCTCCCTTCTACTTTCATGCCTTTTTGTGTGTGACCTAATGAAATTCATTAGGTTGTTGACAGAAGGACAGGGATAGTTTGTTTACAGGAGCATGAGCACCTT